ACACTAGGCCAATACTGGACCACTGAGCTGCACTTAACCCTTTAATTTTGTTTTGCTTTGAGATAAGGTCTGGCTAAATTGTCCAGGCTGACCATGAACTTGTGATCCTTCTGCCTCAGCCTCCCAAGCCACAGGAATTAAAGGCATGTGCCAATATGCCCTCATATTCAGCAGATGTAAACTCACCTTGTCTACCTACACAATTTCCATACTTTTCACAAGCCAGGATCAGTTTGTAGACTATCAATTTTCAGACTGTATTCATTTTTAAGTTTTATTAGAAAAAGTTACCACAAACTATACGGCTTACAAATTGACTTACAGATTCTGGAGCCTACTAGTCCAACGTCAAGGTACTGACAAAAGTTCCTAGGGAAAAACCTCTCCTGTCCCGTGCTGGTTGCTGGCTTTCCTTGGTGGTCTTGCTTTTTCCTCCTGTCTCTATCTCTCTATCTCTCTCCACCTATCTTCAAATATCCTCTTTTCATAAGGGCGCTAGTCATACTGGATTAGTACATCTTAACTTCATTGCATGTGACAAGACCCTGTTTCCAAATAAGGTCATATTAGCAGGTCTAGGGCTAGGACGTGGACAGATCTTTAGGGGGAAAAATCCAAAGCATCCTAACCAGGAACGGAGTGACTGGCTTAGTCCCTCCTAGGAAAAGTTTGCAGTAGTTTTTAAAAGATCTTCTCTACTGACAGTGTCCTAGGATCCTTAAATTTAACCAGATCTCTTAGCTGGCAAAATGGAACCATGGAGAGTCTAAACCTTTTCTATTTCTTGTCATCCTGCCTGAAAGACTGGCATACATACTGTTTGATGGAGCCCTCTTATCTTCCCATAGTGGCAGACACAGACCTTCTGCAAGGTTGAGCAAGGAGATGAACCAATTAGGATTCCTTTCTGTTTTGAGACAGGATCTCACTATGTAGTTCAAGCTGGCCTTAAACTTACTATGTAGCCCAGGTTGGCCTTGATCTCATGGTGATCTTCCTGCTTCAGCTTCCTGAGTGCTGGGATGACAGAGGAGCTCCAGCCCCAATTAGGATTCTATTGGTCAAAAGTAGGAGAAACCAATTCCAACTAGCCCAGGAAACCATGGGAACTTAATATACGAATACCAGGCTGGGGGCCATACAAGGGGAGTGTTGGGCTTTTTCCTGATTGCATGCCTGTGCTTAAGGATTAGTTATACATATAGTCTTCCAGCTATTCCTCCAAACAATGAAGCTAGGTAATTAATACTCTTTGCTCCATGTCAAAGAGGAACAACTAAAGCTGAGAGGTTAAGTATCACAGTTCACTCCAAATCACACAGCCAGGAAGGGATGGATTGGGGTTGGAACTCAAGTGCACCCACCATGAAGCCTTACCTTTAGCTTTCCCTTAAGCAGATTTCTTTCTAATGCTTAACACTTAATACTTAACATCTGCTGCAAGTGTGTTTGTTCAGTCTTTTATTAGTCTGTGAATTCTTGCTGGCTTTGCTCCCCTCACAACAACTTACACTGACCCTAGCATAGAGGAGGTGCACAGAAAATAGTGGAAGTTCAGCTACTACATCTTACGTTTGAACAAGAGCTGCTGATTCTATAAGGCCCCTGAAACGCAGCTGCAGACAAGGAGTGCAGAGATCTCACATGCTGGACACTGAGGCTGCAGCATGCATTTGCTTGTTACAAGTCCTTGGCTCAAAGAATCTGTTTGCTTCACCAGGGACCATGGTGGATGTCCATGGAGGCTACTCACAACCTCAGTGTTGTGGTTGGCACACATCTCTAATTGTTTCTCTTGAGGTCCTCCTGTTAAGATCCTTCTCTATTTCCTAAGCCTTCTGTGCTTAATAAAGCCAGCAGAGTTAAACCCCAAGCCAGCCTTTCTCTCCTCAGCCTGGTTACAGATTGGAACATCGTGACTATTTTCTGAAGCTGCATTGCGATCCATGTGACTGGAAGTGTCTCTCTTCCGAGAGTGTGAGTCTAGCTGGAGATGTGCCAGTTGGTCTTTGTGCGTCCTTAGCAAGAGACTGAATGTTTACCTTACCTGTCCCAGTTTCACTGCAGCCCTGAATTTTTGTAGGTGATGTGGTCACAGTGAATGGCTACAGGGTAACTCAGGTTCAGATGATTTTCTTGGCATAGTCCAGACTTCTGAAGTCCTTGGCAAGCTTGTGCCTAGAGACATATCCCTTGTGTCTGTCCCAGGTGGACCTCAGAATCTAGTTAGGAAATGTTGATAGTAATGGAAAAGAGTGAAATTTCACCTACACCTTTGGAGAAGAAGACATATTCATTTCCATCCACATGTTCATTATCTGTTACACTGCCTACATTTCCAGAAGAAAGCGAGAATTACTTATTGAGCATTCTTTCTCCAAAGAAGGGATCAGGAAGTGATACACTAACTAACTGTTGATAATGCAGTTCTTAGGTTCTTAGGGTCCCTAGTCGTGGAACCTGGTGGCCTCTGTCCAAAGGGAAACACTCGCTGAGGCAAGACTGGGGTTTCTGTCCTCCACGAAAGCTGGAAGCCAATGCTTTTGTGAAGACGGTTGCCTAAGGCATCAATGAATCTGGGCATATGCATCATGATCTGACAATAGAAGGGTTATGAAAAATCCCATCATGCTCATTCCTAAGCAGAATCAATTTTGGGAAAACAATCTGGCTTAAAGTCAGAGCAGGAAGAGGCTCTTGGTCTGATTTTTCCCACTGCTGTCACTGAGTATTTGGGGTGATTTGGTTAGCTGCTTAGCCCAGCTCACAGACACAATTTGTTTTCTGGTTTCATCTTATAGCCTGTGAGGAGGTGCTGGCTTTGACACTTTGGAAGTATGTGCCGCAGTGGAATTCTTGTTTAAGAGCTTGCTGGGATCTTTTTCTTGATGAGGGTATTGACAACGTCTCAGTGATGGAGGGTACTCTGAGTACTGCTTCCCTTAGAGCTCTGGGTGGAGTCCCCAGAAGACAGTGACCAGTCCCGTCACTTAAGCCCGTCTTCCTGAGGTTAGAGCTGGTCCTGATGGCAGCAAGAAGCGACCATCTTCCACAGTGACACTACCGTTCTGGGCTGAAGGATGTGGTAGCAGCCTCTGCCAGGAGCTTGGCGTGGAATGAGCTCTAAGCACCTGCTCTTCAAACTCAGGTATGCACACCACTGAAGAAGGTAAATGCCTTGGTTACTTTTTTCTCCTTGCTGAGACAAAATACCTGATGCCACAAATTAAGGAAGGAAAGGTTTAGTTAGCTCCCCGTGTGTGGAGGTTTCAGTCCATAATCAGCTGGCTCCAAGGCAGGGTGGCAGGGCACAGGGGCAACACTTTAAGGCAGCAGAAGACAGCAAACGCAGCAAGAGCAAAAATGGGAAGAGCAAGCCTCTTTTCTTCCCGTATATTGTATGCTGGCTATCCGCTCTGGGGGGGTGGGCGGGATCCTTTACACCCACACCATCTCCGTGCCCTCCTCCCGCACAGGCTCAGGATGAGTACAAAGCAAGGACCCGGCCCCTGCTGAGTCACTTAGTGAACCTTCTAAACTTCTCACATTGGCACAGTGAGCAACTTAGTTCCCCGCAGAGCGGGAAGGGCGTGTCCTTCTCAGCCCAGTGTGTAGAACTGCTGAGTCACTTAGTCAGGCTCTGGACTTCTCAAGTTGTCACAGTGTACCAACTATTACAGTAAAGGAAGGCTTTTTAAGGCATATTCTTGCAGGAACAATTTTAAATTATGAATATTTACAGTAAGATGTGAAATCATATCTTTGCAACTATTTAAACTTATGACGAGTTGCAGATATTAGTTTAAAAGTGCCAGCGCTTGTGAACAGTTTTCCAAAACTTTTCGAGGTAGATAAGCAAAAATGTTTGAAGTCTCCTCGTCCAGCGGACAGAAGCTTAAGCAGCTCTGTGAGTCCCTAACCAAAGTGGGCTTAGGTCTTCTCACTTGTCAACTCTGTGCCTTGGAGAACTACAAGTAGATATAGCGACTCTTTTCCCAAGCACCTCACAGGAAAGGTACCGTCTCTTCTCCACTCTACAGTGAGCTGCTCATTTGTTCAAGCCGTATCCTGGGTCCTGGGGCAGGGAGCACAGCTCCCGGAACCTCTCACCAGTTGTACCATTTAACGCCACGCGGCATGAAAGCACTCTGTAAATGTGAAAAGTTGGAGTCACACAACAGAGATGTGGTTGAACAGCCTTGAGGTGACCAGGAGGACCCTTTCCTTGGCAGAAGCCAGCTGGTGGGAGCCCTTGGAGCACAGACAAGGAGAGATGGAGGGCTGGTTTCTCTGAGACTGAGGTGTTTTCTCCCTCATTCTGACATCAGGACCCCAGAGTTATTAAGCATCTGAAAAGCTATCTGTATCTGTTTCTTGTCTCATTCCCTCTTTAGGACAAAGGTTGAAAACTACCCTGATCTCAGACCTCACCATTCTGGTGCAAGGAAAATCACTCCATACCTTGCAGGTCACAAAGCTAGGGCAGTGTTTCCTGGTCTGCCAGCCCCGGCCGCCTGCCCACATCCAGGCGAGAGTCACAAGCCCTCAGCAGGTCTCCAGGGGTCCCTTCCCTAAATATCAGGCCTTTCCACCTCCCCTTTCTCTCTTCTCTACCCGGTGGCACCATACTATCACCCTTCTGACCCTGATTGCTGAGGCAGCTGGTTTCTTCCTGTGGCCAGGCCTCATTTAGCTTGGAGTGGAAGCTCATGAGAGACTTGTTGGCAGAAGGCTTGGGGGATCCTCTGGTCTCTCTGCCTTAAACATTTGTGTTCTTACAAGTCTAAGGGCCCCAACTCTTTTTGCTAGAGGATGGCCTTTTTATTTTTCCAGCAACAGATGCAGGGATGGGGGTGGGGTACTGACGCTGCTTGTGGTTTATGTGCTGAAAAATTCAAAGATGAGCTTGTGTCAGGGACTCCAGTGCTTTAACCACTTTGGTAATAGAGAAACAGCTGATTCCTGTTTTCTTTCCCCTCCTGTAGCTATGGACAGAGAACATGAATTACCAGGAAATTGGAAACCATAGCAAAGTGACTGAGTTCATTCTCGTGGGCCTGTCTAGCCACCCCACACCCCAGAGTATTCTTTTCTGGGCACTGATGTTTCTGTACACAGTAACTTTGGTAGGAAATGGCGTGATCATTTTCCTGGTGGCAGCCAGTTCTCAGCTGCACACCCCGATGTATTTCTTCCTTGGGAACTTGTCTTTCCTGGATCTTCTGTTCTCCACTAGTGCTGTGCCCCTCATCATGGTAAACTCACTGAAGAACTTCCCTACCATCTCCTATAGCTCCTGTTTTGCGCAGCTTGCCATCCGGGCCTTCTTGGCATTGGCTGAGTGTTTTCTTCTTGCCATTATGGCTTATGACCGATTTGTAGCTATTTCAGATCCACTACGGTATAACCTGGTCATGTCTTCTCAAGTGTGTCTTTTAATGGCTTTGACTGCCTGGATGACAGCCTTCACGCTCACCATTACCCCCATTCTGCTCTTTCCCATCAGTTTCTGTGGGCATAACACAGTCAATCACTTCTCCTGTGAGGTCCAAGCCATCTTTAAATTGCTGTGTTCCAATACCTTTTCCCTAGAGATTATGATGATGGCATGTGCTGTCATTTCAATGCCACTACCTTTAATTTTCATTCTTATCTCTTACCTTTTTATCCTCAGGGCTGTCTTAAGAATCCGCCCAACTGAGGCTAGGTTTAAAGCTTTTTCCACATGTGGCTCTCACCTGACTGTGGTCACCATCTACTTTGGGACACTAATATATATTTACGTGAGACCCCAGACCAAGAAGTCCCAAGATGGGGACAAAATTGTCTCTATATTTTATGCAGCAGTGACCCCAATGTTAAATCCCCTCATCTACACCCTGAGAAATAAGGATGTAAAAGATGCTCTCGGAAGGGTAACTTGTGGAGCCAAGTCCTGAGGCCTGAGGCACACAAGAGCTGGGGGAAGGAGGGTGCGGAGGCGCCAGCTGCCTCAGCAACTGCGCATTTGTGAGCGGCACTTCAGAACGGGGAAAGAACTTGCAAAGCATCTAAATAATGGAAGTCACACAAGAACAAAGATTTGATGGAAAAATATAAAACTGCTATATGTCACATGCCTCCTAACTAAACATAAAATGTGAGCTACATATGAGCAGCAAGGTTTGCCAGTACATAATGGAAAAATAACCAATAGCCTGTATATGTAAACGTCTCACACATCATTAGGTCAGAAGGTAAATATTCCAATAAGAAGATGTCCGGCAGACATGAGCATCCAGTTCAGTAAAGAAGAAATAAACATTAATATTTATTCAGCAACAAAATATCACCCTTTACTTATGCTAACAATAGTGAAAACTATTTATAGAATACAATGTTGGCGATGGTTTGGGGAAATATCACTGAGGGAGACTATAAATTAACTCAGCCTTTGGGGGGGACAGTTTCAGTAGTGGTAAAAACCAAGTGTTACGGGGACCCATTTTGCTGGGGAGGTGGCCCTCAGCTGGCCATGTCCTTACCTCCGCATTTACTGCTTATAGAGCACTGCAGAGCTTGCAAGCTTGATGGCTCTGGAAACACCCACCCTGAAACAAGATGCCAACACTGAGTGAAGCTCAGGGAGAAAGGTGCTCTCCGTCCCTTTCCTGAGGAAGTTGTGGGGAGGCGGCTGACCCTGAACAGGTGGCCCTTTTTATTTAGAATGAGCGGTATTTTGAGCATCCCTTTTTCCCACATCTGTGGACTTCAGTCATCGATTTCGGGAACTAGGGAAAAATATTTTGACACATCCTAGCATCATGCCACCTGGATGCAGCGACCCTACAGAACGTTGCAAGGCTAGAATGGTCCTGCTCCATGAATTTCTCCCTCCCCAGTCTTTCATTTCCCTCCCCTTCCTTATTTTTCTTAGTTTTGTTTCTCTCCCTTTCTTATTTTTGTGTGTGAAATATTTCAAATAGGCAGAAAAATTACAGGAATAGTGCAGCAAACAACCATTAATCACCCAACAGTTTATGATATTTTGTTGCAGAATTTTCTGATAAAATTAACTACTATTAACTAAATTTAACTACTATTAACTACTTTTAACTAAAATTAAAATGCTCCTATACAAATAAGAAACCATAAACAAATGAAAAGGTCAGGCACAACCTGAAAGAAGATATTTGTCATGCATAAAGCTGACCAAGTATCACTAGATATTTTCTACAATGTAAAGAATTACTACCTTCCAAAAAATTCCCTGCTTAACAGCCCAGTCACCAGAACTCAGTCATGTGATTGATTGCTCTTTGTGACAAGAGAGACCACAAGATATTGTATGTTTTCTGGGCTGTCAGATGATATGGAACCAGGAGAGATAGACATATGGCTCACCCACCTTTTTTGTTGGAGAAGATATTTTAAAAATTCTCTCCTCTGCCTTCGTTCTCTATTTCATTAATATCTGTTCATTGTATTTCTTTCTTATGCTTTCTTTAAGTTTATCCTCTAGATATTTTACTAGTTTCTTGAGTCAAACACAATTTATTTTCAGTCTCTTATGATTTTTTAGACCTTTTAAAATTTAACTTTTATTATGAAATGATTTTAGATTTATGGAAGAGTTGCAAAGATAGTACAGAGAATTTCTGTAACCCTTCAGCCAGGTTCCAGTAAAGTGAACACCTGACAGAGTTGTGGCATACTCACCCAAACCAAGAAGATAACAAGCTATCAGTTTTATTCAGATTTTCTCAGCTTTTCGGCTTCTCCCCCTGACCCCCAGAGGGAAATCTATGTACCACACTACATTTAGTTACTACTCTGCTTTAAAGACTGGTCTCCTCAGACTTCTCTGGTTTGTGACGGATTCTTGGTCTTTCCTTGCCTTTCATGACCTCGGCCCTTGTTTTGTGGTGCTAAACCACGGCCTCAGGCACGCGAGGCAAGTGTTTACCACTGAGCTACCCCTCTCACCCCCCTGACACTTCTGAAGGACACATTGACAGAGAATTTTGTAAAATGTCCCTTAATTTGGGTTTGTCCGATGTTTTGCACAGGATTAGAGTTGGGTTATGGAATTCAGGGGACGAAACAGAGGGCGAGTCTGCTTCCCGTCTGGTAATATCAAGGGACTCTGATCTCATCAGGTCAGATCACTGGTGATATTCTTTTTAATCATTTGATTTAGGTGTGCTTTCCAAGTTTCTTTACTGGCAAATTACTATTTTCCTTTTAATAATTATCAGAAGGGTGTGACTAATCTATCTTAGTATCAAATGGAGGGAAATTAAGCGTCATCTCCTGGAATAATCAGCAAACACTTCAGAGGTGCTATTCGGGTGGTGCAACTTCTCATCTCTCCTTGAAGTCTCACTCACTCACTTGACATCTCCTGGTGGATTTTGTGGACAGCAAGTCATTTTCTGTTTTTCCTAGTCAAGTGCTCATTATTTTAAATACATAAATTTCAACAAATGAATTTGAAGCTATGGCTTTCTCCAGTGACCACTGCCTTCTATGTTTTGATATGCAATATTTTTATTGTCATTTGATTCCAAATATTTCACCATTTGTACGATTTTTGGATCATTTACCAATACATTGTTCAGTAAAGCATGTTAAAGTTCTCAAAATGTGTTTGTGTTTAAATTATCATTTTAAAGTTTGTTTTGCATTAAGTGTATAGTGATCAAAACATATAATCTGTATGATATTGATTCTTTGAAATTTTTTGAAGCTTCCTTTGTGATCTAGTATCTGGTAAATTTTTATAATTGCACCTTGTGTACTTTAAAAAAAATCCATATTCTCTAGCACTGGGTACAGGTTTTTAACATGTCTATTTGATTTTCTAAGTTTGTTCAATTTTGTACATCTTTGGTTACTTTTGTTATGTGCTTTCTATTTCTATGTCGATGTGCTAATATTTTGTACTTGATTTGTTCATTTTTTTTGCTCTAGGTTCCATTTTGTCTTTTTTTGTTAGTATTTACATAGTATACATTTTTTCTGCGCCTTTATTTTTTTTGTTTTAAAGAGAAAAGAACAAAACAAAATAACAAAAACAAAACAACACAAAAACTATAAAAATGACACAGAATTTCAAAACAAGATGATAGGAAATCAACAATGGTTGTTGTATTACTTATTATCTTCAAAGTAGTTGCTCAGATTACCTCATATAGGTATGCAAAACTGATCAAACAATTAAACATTTCCTGTTCTTTTCAATAAACAGAAATTAGTAGTAAAATTATCTTAGCTACTGTGTGTGTGTGTATTTCCCTTCTTTCTTTCTTTTCTTCTTTTGCTCATCCCAGCTGTTCTTTCCTATTGAGCAGTTTTTTTCCCTTTCATAATATCTCTTGTACCTTTCCTTTTTTGTTCTTCATTTTCAACCTATCAACACAATTTTGTTTGAGGTGTATCTCCTTCTAAATAACTAATCATTTATTTTTTAGATGTATTTCCTGTAAGCAGTATATGACTGGGTTTAAAGTAAATGCGGTGTGATTATTTGGATCTTAGTAGGTGAGTTTAATTATCTTATTGTAGTTACTCATGTTTCTGAATTTATTTTCATGATTTTATTTTGTCATCTCTTTTGCGGAGTTATATGCAGGGAGCTCTGAATCACATTCCCCACATCCCCCTTCGAATTTTGAGACAGGGTGTCATTGCCTGGCTTTGAACTTTTGATTCTTCTGCTGTAACTGGGATTACAGGTGTGTGCCATGGTGCCCACTGTTTAACTTTTAATTCAGTTACTTTTGTTAGGTGCTCTCTGTTGTATTTATAAAATTCTCTATATTGCATTTACCCTGTACTTGTTTGGAAGCATTAAACTCTTTTTTAAGAGGTTAATGATGGCTAATATATTGCATATTGTAGTTCAAAGTTCAAAGTAGTTGCTCAGATTACAAGATATAGGCATGAAAAATTAATCAACAATGTAAGTGCAAACTGTTCTTTTTAATGAACTGATAGAAATTAGTATATAATTATCTTAGCTATCATATATATATACATACATTTTTTCCTTCTTTCTTTTCTCCTTTCCCCCATTCCAGTTGTTCTTTCCTTTGAGCAGCTGCTTCCCCTTTCCCAATATCTATTGCAGATTTTGTATCTTTTTTTTTTTTTTTTGGTTTTTCTCCGGTACCGGGAACCGAACTCACGACCTTGCGCTTGCCAGGCAGGCGCTTTTGCCGCTGAGCTAAATTCCCAGCCCCCGCAGATTTTGTATCTTATTTACTCTTTTATTTTCCTACGCTAGGGAGACAAGATGATGTTTACACACGTGAGTTTTATGTATTTCACTTATGAATATGGTCTCTAGTTGCATCCATTTACCTATAAAAGCCTCGAGTTTATCCTTCTTTAGAGCTGAGTAGTGCTCCATTATGTAAAAATACCACATCCTTTTTTTCCATTCCTCAATTGATGAGCATTTGGATTGTTTCCAATATTTAGCTATTATTATAAGTTGTGCTGCTATAAACATGGGTGCACATATGTTGCTGTGGTTTTTAATTCTTCTGGGAAAATAACCAAAAGGGGAATACCTGGGTTCGATGGGACTTCTAATCCTAGCTTTTTGAGGAATCTCCATACTGATTTCCACAGTGCTTATAGTATTTCTACCTAGTTTAGCTGTCTATAACAATCTCCCCTCTGAAGAAGTACCCCAAGCTACCATGAGGGGGCACTGGGTGGTGACTGCCCTGGCTTCTCAACACTGAAGGGGGTTTAGTTGTGATTGGCAGTCAGAGATACTCTACAGAAAGTCTATCTAAAGGCCCTTGATAAATGCAGGCATTCTCATCTTGGGTAGGCATATAGCTTTAAGTCTGGAGGAGACAAAGCCAAAGAAACAAGTATGCATGGGCCAAATAATAGGATCGACAGGATAATTATGAATACAGTTAACAAAGATTTCCACCAGAAA